GGTGCGTGGGGCGGCGGCTACTGCACGGAGAGTGACTGGAGGGACTTGAGGGCGGTCGCGAGGGACATGACGGAGGCGGAGATTGAGGGGCAGTACTGCAGCCGCAAGCCGGAGTTTGTGCAGGGGCTGCGGGCGATTCCGCAGATGGAGGGAGCGAGTGATAACACTGAGATCTCGGGAGTGACACGTGGCTCTGTAACTGGCAGTGAAAATGGGCAGACGCAGAAAAGTGCCGAGGACCCGACGAATGCAGCTTCAGGCTCCCTTTCACCCGCTAGTACTGTTCCTGGGGCAGCTGCGCGGACACCTTCAGCACCAACTGTATCCGAGGGGAAAAGGAGCTCAACGGAGACTTCAACTGACCAAAGAGACGAAAAGAGTGTGTCGGGTTCTGTCGGCACCGCGCAAACTGGTCCACAGCAGTTGGAGCAGCAGCCGAACTCGCAGCCTGAGGAGGGTGTGGGCGGAACAGCAGCAGACGCCGGAGAAACGCTGCCAGCGACGACGCCATCATCGTCAGTGGAAGGGCAACATGCGCCGTCTCCACCGCAAGAAAATACACCAGAGACGAAAACTGTTACGCCCTCCGTTGAGAGCTCCTCCAAACAAGAAGAGACAAATCCTCAGCCAAAAAACACACATGCGCCATCAGCTGACAGTGCCGCTCCACCCCCTCCGCTACCGCACGCTGCAAGTGGCGGTTCTAATGCCGGCGGTCAGGCTGAACAGCCCGCTGCCAACGCCGCCACCAAAACAACGAAGGTGATGCATGGCGACAGTGACGGCGGCACCGCGGCCTCGCACTGCACCTCCCCCCTTGCGCTGCTTCTTCTTGCGTGTGCGGCGGCTGCTGCGATGGCGGCGGCGTGAGGGAGCCGTGCGCAGCTCCTCCGTCCCTTCGTTATTTCTCTCTTTTTGTGTGTGTCCTCCTGCACGGACTGTCGCCCTCGCCCCACCCCACGAGGCACACACGTAATGTGCTCATGCATACACGCACACTCATGCAGGCCCGTTGGTTTTTTAATTTATTTTGCTTTCAACGCGCTGCCGCCGTTCTGCTTGGCTGCATGGGTAGAGCACCGTAACTGTTTTTATCATTTTAATTGTTTTCGTTGCTTTCGGTGGGCAGCCTCTTTCTCCCTCCTTCTTCCTGGATTGGGCTGTGCGGGAGGAGAGGG